ATCACAAAGTGACACAGCAGAATCCATAGGCTTCAACAGAGAAGAAATCCTATAAGAACAGGGTGCTTTGCCATAGGACTTTGGGTTGTCTTGCCACACTCCAGGAGCATCGGATCACGACCGATAGAACCCCGCTCCCCTCTGCGACCAATCTGGCTGGCCACTAGATTGATCCAGACTCTGGACTGGTAACTATAAACATCACTGCAGGAGAGTGAGTGAGTGAGTGAGTGTCTAAAAAGCATATGCTAACTGTGGTATTCTCAATAAACACTGTGTATTTACCTTCCTCTATAAAGATCCCGTGTGCTTTGTATGAGCATAACAGGGTGGGGAGGTAATTCCATGCAACTCATTAGTTTTAACAAGGATCACTTGGCAAAAAAAACAAACCAGCTGTACTTTTGCTATGAACATTTAGAACTAAGCATCCAAGTAAATTATGCTACTTGGTAACAGATTCACACAATTATTTCTCCTTGCTTCATTTTTCAGATTTCTGATTAGAACTCACAGAACCCCCACACTGATTCAACTGGAATCTACACTACCATTTATATGCTAATATTCCTTCAACTAAACAGTATTTGCAATGGCAACAACATAATGACTTCTTGTATTTCTTACATTCTCTGTGTACACAGCAATTGCTCCAGACTTGGGGGCAGAAAGTGCTGTCATCACTGCTACCAAATTAGTTATCTTTTGTACCTTCAACTTCAAATGGCAGTATCAATCCTTGCTATTGATGCCATTAAAATCTATTACCACTTACAAACAATGTGGCAAAAACATCCATATGATATTGAAAGTGAAATGCAATTTCACTTTATGTGTTATTGAGGCTTTTTGTGTCTCATTTTACTAAAATGTTTACAATACTATATAATGTCATAATATTCTAGGGAAGAAGCCAAAGATTTCACTGACCATTAGATTAAAGGAGCAAAGTTTAGTGACTAGAATGAATGTGCAAAGGACAAAAAATGTTTCTGATAAATTAGAGCACCACACATACTTCCACTCTTGCCACTCTTTGCTAGTTACATGTTTGCAGTTCTATTACCTGCACAAAACCTTTGATGTAGCTGTCACAGTTCCAGAGGTAGCTGCATCTCTGACCCAGTCTCTCACCCCTCTTAGATCTCCGGCCTCTAGCCCAGTGGTCTCCAAACTTTTTTGATCGCGCATCCCTATCAGTAAAGAGCATGTACCCCCTGCCGCGCCGAAGCAAAAAAAAAAAAAGACCGCTCAGACTCCCGCCCGAACTGTTCAAGCCATCATCCTTCTCAGGAGAGTCCTGTGACACTCTCTCTAGGCTGGGTATTTGGGCACCGATCTTCCCTGAAATTCATTCTGATCACCTCAGCAAGTCTGACTTTAGTTCAGCACTTATGGTCCTATTCTTTCAGGGGCAATGACAGGGTTAACCTGTGACCAGCCAGCCTTCAGAAAGGAAAGTACTATTTATTCACAACAAAAGCATTATAGAGAAAACATCTCAAACAATAAACAACTTATATGAAGTCTTAGCTTGTCACCCATCTTCCACATGGAGACCCTGGCAGGTACTATCACAGGGCCTGTCCCTCTGGCTCACAGTCTCATATCCATTCTTGGATCAGGAGAGTGTGACCTCTCTCCAAGGTTGTCAGTTTACTGGCAAACAAAGAACCCAAAACAATATATTCTTGAACCAGATCAAACCAGTTTATGCAATTTTCCACCGGGGTGAGGCTTCTCCAGACTGGTTATCTGCCTAGGGATTTGCATTAGTCACCATCTAGTGATTTTAATTCTTTCAGGAAACCCTTTAGCTCCCACATGAAGCCAGAATATAATCCCTACCCCAGAAAGATACACATAACTTTTACAAAGTTGATACAAGAATCTTTGGATATTCCAAGTGTCCATTGTATCTGTCACAGTAGCCACTGTCATAGCCCTAACAAAAGTGAGAAAATAATGGCCCTAATTCACCTCATCTGCACCAGTTTTACACTAGTGAAACTCAATGGACTTCAATGGAGTTACACTTGAATTACACCAGTGTGATAGCAGAATCAAGCTAGATTTGTTGCTTTTACCCTCTCTTGATTAGACCTTAAAAAGTGAACATAGAAAGAGTGTTACAGGATTAAAAAAATTGAAAGTGCTGTGATGTAGCTCCATACTGCACCCCTTTCTTCCCTGTCAGCCCAGAGAAATGTGTTGGCACTTCAGATGCTGCCTGTATGATGTTCCAGTTTTCTGTGACCGCATATGCACTTTTCCCTGAAATCAATGGACCTGCCATTTTGCTATGATGATAGCTAACCTCATGACTCGCCCATCAGACAGCATGAAGTAACATACTGTAGCAATCTGCTTTTACCTTTAATTATATGGATACCAGCTAAACCATTGAGAGCACACACCAGTTGTCGATGGGCTTCCTCACATTCGGTTCGACATTTCTTCTGCAGTGAAGTCAGTAGCTCCTCCATGGTCATGGTGCTGAAATAAAGATCTAATGGATCAAATTTGAAAGAAAAACAGACACTACACTTGCATGAAAGGTCATATCATGCATGGCAGATATATCATGCAAACATATGTTTGCCACATGATAAATATTCTCAAGGACAATACAGTGTCATGATTTAGTTTTAGCAGTCACTCTTTCAGCTGCAGCGTCTGCACACATCTAGTGCCCCAATCACTAATCTAACTGAGGGTATATGTCAAGAGAATAGAAATTAACTCCCCCACGCTGTGGAGACTTGGGAAAAGTAGACCTGTCAGAACTCCACTGTCAGGAATTTCTCCCATTCCTTCATTCAGAGCCACTATGTTCAAGTCTCTACACTTCAACAATACAGCACCATTCCTCCAGAGACAAGGAAATAAAGGCCATACTTGTAGAGAAAGAGCTATACAATCCATTTTTAAAAGCACCTTCCCTCAGGGACCAATTCATTACTTCAGCAACATGACAGCTCCACCAGCCTCTCAGGGGCCTGAGAGTATGTATTGCAGTAAAGAGATGTTTCCACATTGTAATAGGTCTTTCTGCTTTTACTTTAATTATTATTATTATTTGTATTGCTGATACACATAAGGGCCAACTGAAAAAGGGATCCCATTGTGTTAGGGGTTGCACAAATGAAGAATAAGCAACAGTTCATGAGCAAATCTAAATAGACAAAACAAAGTACAGGGGAAAGGAGATACAACAATACAAGCGAGTGAACAGAGTGATGGTTGGCAAATGTCACAGTAGTTACACTTTTTTTCCTTCCTTTAACTTTTTTTAATTCTCCGAGTGGGGTTTAGTTAGCAGGAGATTAGCTAAATAGAAAGAAAAAGGGAAGGAGAGGGGTGAAAGGAAAAGGGCAGGGGAGAAGAAAGAGGGAGGGAAGAATGAAGGGAGCATGGAGGGCCGCTGGAGTCAGGCTGAGATGAAGAGTTTGGGCAGGAGGATGTTGAAGCAGACAAACAATCAGCATGAGAAGAGAATGACCAGAGTAAAAATGGTAGAAATCAGCCACATCACATTAGTGTCCAACCGTCCCTGCTAGGCTGCTTCTGTGCCTGAACCTGCCAGCTTGAGATTCTGGTTCCAGGGCTCGCTCCTCCCTGGAATTTCTTGGCTTGGGGATGAAGGGGTATTGTATTGTTCCTCATGTCCTGGAGGGAAGGGGGGGGTCACCCCTGCACAGTCTGGATCCAGGATGTGAAGGCAGGGAAAGGCCGCATTGGCTGGGCCCCATCTTCCCCTCCCAGCAATACTGCAGTACCTACTAAGGCAGGGGTAGCCAACAGGGGGACCACAGGCCAAATCCAGACCGCCAGATGCTTTTGAACAGATGTGAAATATTTTTATTTACTTAGTATCATCATTACTGCATTTTTTTTTAATTTTCTTCTTCTCTAGAGTCTGGACCTTGACTATATCTTGACCAAGAAATTAGGACCTTGACAAAAAGTAATTGACTACCCCATACTAAGGTTTCCCCTTACCTTTGCTCCTGCTATCTAAAGTTTCAATGTTCCTGCTGCCATGCCAGTGTGGGAGATGGAGGTGCTATTGATTTAAAACTGCAATTTATACTGAGCTACATTTCTCAGTTGTACTGGCAAATATGCAATGCACCTGCTGCTCATATTCTGCTTAGCTCTAGCCAGTGCTATTAATCTTTCATTTTCATAAGCATGGAGAGTGAAAAATTTCTAAAAACAAAACAAAAATAGCACATAGTTTCATAATTTGTAAGGCCTGGTCTACACTAGAAAATTAGGTTGGTTTAACTATGTTGGTCGGGTTTTGAAAAATCTACACCCTTAAGCTGCGTAGTTAAGCCAACCCAAGTCCCCATGTAGACAGGGCTAGATCAACAAAAGAATTCTGCCATCAACCTAGCTACTACCTCTCAGGGAGGTGGATTACCTACTCTGACAGGTAGCATTTACACTGAAGCGCTACAGCTGTGCTGCTGTAGCATTTTAAGTATAGACAAGCCCTTAATTCATTTACTTTGAACAATCTGAGACTAATAATCAATTTCAAGAGAAGTTCCTGATTCAGTTTAAATTCCAGGAAAACCTAAAAGGTATCCTGTTTAGGAATGGCTAGACAGCCTTACTCACTGCCTTTACCAGATAATGAGAAAATTAACACTCTCATAGAACCAGATCATAGATCATCCTGGACAATGATCCCTCACTTTCACAGACCTTGGGAGGCAGGCCAGTCCTCTCCCACAGACAACCCGCCAACCTTAAGCATATTCTCACCAGCAACCACGCACCGCACCATAACAACTCTAACTCAGGAACCAACCCATGCAACAAACCTCGATACCAACTCTGCCCACATATCTACACCAGCAACACCATCACAGGACCTGACCAGACCAGCTACAACATCACCGGCTCATTCACCTGCACGTCCACTAATGATATATGGGCCTTCATATGCCAGCAAGGCCCCGCTGCGAGGCACATTGGACAAACTGGACA